CCTAGGAGGTGTATTGTGCCACGGTTGCTAATATATCCCATCAAAGCACTTCCGAATCGGGGGTTTCCAGGCACAGGAAAACGTTCGGGCTCCCCATTCTGACTCCCCAGTCTGTTCCCAAAGCCAAGCGGGGAATTCGAACGCAGCTCTCCCCTTGCTTGACACAATACTCCCCTTCCTCAGCCTCGTTCTCCTTGTGGTGTTGGTCTCAGGTGCCGTCAAGTCCACAAAGCAACCCCACAAAGACTTTCGAGGTATTTAAGGAATGGTTTTACCCGTTTCACACGCGCAGCGAGTTTCTGTGGCTGGGGGGCGAGGATCCGAAACCCAGGCCTCCCGAGTCCTAGTCTTTCGCTCTATCTACTACGCCACACACTGGGTACTCCACTGAGCAACCAAAAACAGCTGTACTTTCTAAGATGGGCTTTGGTTGCAGAATCGTACAATTTAACAGTTGGGAGGATCTTAGGGTGCTAAATAGGAAATCTGTATTTCACGCACCCCTGGCAGAGGGCCACCCAAACCTACTATCAAACAGTTTTGTCAAAGTTTTCCCTAATATTGATCTGTCCACATCCTTGGCCACCCTTTGCTTCCGTCCTGGTGAATTCAGGACCTCGCTTTTTGCCCCAGAATAAAAATATAACTCCGTTCACACACATAGTCGACTCCTAGAAAGGGTTCACAGGCCAAACAAGGCAATATTTCCCCCAACATTTTGGACCCCTAGCTTATGATGGTCGCTGGCTGGAGAGCTCAGTGGTTAACGTCTCCGGAGCCGGAGGCTGGGGGTTCGATTCCTGCTTCTGCCTCCCAGGAGACAAACCAACCTGGGTGGCCTTGGGGGCCAACGGCAGCACACAATCCCTGGCCACCCCCAGAAGAAGGGAAGGGGGGAACACTTCTGAGTCTTATCTGCTGGAAAACGTTGAAAAGGGTCACCAGAAGTCAGAATTGACTTGACAGCACATGGATGATGATGAGGAGTCCTGAGTCCTCTACGCATTCTCTGAATTGCTGTTGTTTTGGCTGCATGGGAAGAGAGGTGAGGATTCAAAAGCACAGATCCAAATATCTTCTCGTGCAAGGCCTTCCTTGCACGAGAGAGAGAGAGAGAGGTGGGGTTTTGGTGGCTCCGGCATGATGATGGAGCATCCTTTTAAAAACAAAAACAACTCTCTCTTGATGCCAGAAAAGCCACCCCCATCAGCCTCTGAAGGGTTGCTTCGGCTTCATCTCCATCCTCTCTCTTCGCCATTTAAAAAATTAACAATAACTTTATTCTTCTTCCCATCCTTTGATCGTCCTCTGAAATCTTGCTTGCGTTTTCACTCCGAGACCAAAGTGTGAATAATTTAAGGGATGCCCTATCTGTGTCGGTCTCTAATCAGGCTTTGACAGGTGCTCAGTAGGTGGGGAGGGGGGGAAACGAGGGGTGTTTGTGTGCTATTATGGGATAGATTCCAGAGGATAAGTTGTCTCTGCTCGTTTATCCCAGACTTTGTGAGCGTTGCATCCTTCCGGCAGCCTTTCGACGCGGCACGCAGGCACACAGAAAGGCACACTTTTATACACTTCTCCTTTGAACTGCACAGGTCTGATCACCACCGTTGTGCTTTTACACTGGTTTATGGGAGGGGGGGATAAACGGCACGGCAG